TGCTTAGTTGCTGGCCAGGGCTAAACCAGGACAAAGAGATAAAAGGGGTTCATCCCTAAGACAGCATGGTGATATAACAATATTGTAAGACCAGTGCTTTACCGCGTACTTTTTATGACAGCAGCAGTGGATCCCACACCCTAACTCAACACTACCCCCAACTAACTTTAAAGATCAACTATGTAGTCTCCATTTCACCACAGCTGAACTGCATCCTACAGCAGGCTATAAATCTAGAATCAAGATAGATATATGAACAACCTTGATATGACAATGGCCTATCATTTTGAAAGACACCACTGGCCTTGCAATCAGAACAAGAAAAATGTTAAACAAAATTAAAAATTGCCCTATTGCTATTTTTAAATCTATTAATTGCCAAGATTCTGATTAAAGTCCATAACAACAACAACAAAAAGGAAGGCGTAGACTCCTTCATATCCAGAAGAATCACAGAATTGTCGAGGTTGAAAATACGAACTGCTGTGTGTGAGCTATCCCTTCAGTACATAGAGAGTCAAGAAATTCAGTTAGTTATAATCTGCACTCTTTTTAGAGAGTCCCTTGCAATTTGAGGCCTTAGACTAATACATAAATAAGAGTGGGAAACTTTAGGAAACAGTTCCTCCAGCAAACTCCATTAAAAAGAACCCCAAAACCTCTTGCTTCTCACCAGAATGAGACATATTCAAGCATCCCCGCTCCCTATAGCTGCCTGATATACTGCTCCTCTGTCTTTAAATAGAGAGTAGCAGAACAAAGAATACCAGCTTCCTACTCTTTTGCAAATTTCCATGGGAGGAAGACCTTGAAGAAAAGAAAGCTTTTGCAGCAGGAGACCAGAAAATGACCAGCTTCAACCTACCTACAACACCAATTTGCTGAAACACACAATTTCTCAGACTTAGAGCTTGGATTGAAAAATAATCTATCAGACAACCTAGGTAAAAATGGAAAGTGTGATTCTTTAAAAAAACCCACATACGCATTTCACATTCAGCGTGTGTGGGGTGGTATGCAAAATTGTAAAGCGTGCGGTTAAATCCCAAGCCACCTCTGACATTCCAGTTCAAATTAAGGTTTAAAATAACAAATTTAATATTCTGAGATAATTTTAGTTGTCCATCTTTATAATTCAGAGTATTAATGCATGATTTTAAGAGGTAACTACCACAGAAAGCTTAGTACTCACTTCAAAAGAAACCGAGTATGTGTAAGCAATTTTGACTTCTCCATTAGCCTTATTACTTATATCCATAGGTACTCCTGAGCAATCGGGCTTGTCCGGATGAGTATGCTTGTAACTGCAGGAAGAAAAACCACAGAATGAACGCTGCTTCAACTAACACCACTCAAAGAATTCATTGATCTTACACAAGCATCAGTTTAATCCAAGATTCTTCCTTTAAATATAAAAACTGTTCTTAATGCCTCATAAATTTCAGAACTCATACAAAATGTAGCATAAGCACAGGAATTTCTGATAATTGAACATGTTCAACAATAGTTGTCTCTTCTAAAAAGAAAAACACGGAGAGCACAGTCTCTAAAGCTAAGCACCAAAAACTGAAGAAGTCTGAGTACTGCTATGAACCTCCAAAACACTCAGAAAGTTACAACAGAGTTACTAACTTTTGTCAGAAAAAAATACTTTCATTATGATGCTGGACCAACAATGCAACAAGCTCAGTTATACCAAGAATACAAAAGAAAGGAAAGACAAGATGCTAAGAAATAATAAAACCTACATCAGCTGTGCAAAAGCCACATAGACACCAGAACAACTGACGAGTGTATTTGTGAAATCATTCCATTCAAATCCTGATTGCTGAAGACATCAAATGTTGCACTGGTTACTCCTACCTCAGGCACTGGTAGCCTATTCCATCAGAAGACAAAATGTTCCCTAGTAGGGAAATGAGGGTTGCTTCACTGAACACATACCACTTCCAGGTTTTTTTGGGTTTTTTTTTTTTTGGCCCAAATAGGAAATAGTGCACAAAGATCTATCGAATTCAGAACAAAATTATTTTAGACTAGCCTGCATGATCACACAATCATGATCACACAAATCAACAAGAAAGCTAATCTACAGGTCACATATCTGAAAACATTTCTGACTAGCAACAGGTCCCCAGATCTAAGCAAGTATCTTTCTTACCAGTCACAAGCGGTGTTCCTCAGGGCTCTGTTTTGGGGCCAGCCTTGTTTAATATCTTTATCAACGATCTGGATGAGGGGATTGAGTGCACCCTCAGTAAGTTTGCAGATGACACCAAACTGGGTGGGAGTGTCGATCTGCTGGAGGGTAGGATGGCCCTGCAGAGGGACCTGGACAGGCTGGACCGATGGGCCGAGGCCAACTGGATGAGGTTCAACAAGGCCAAGTGCTGGGTCCTGCACTTGGGTCACAACAACCCCATGCAACGCTACAGGCTTGGGGAGGAGTGGCTGGAAAGCTGCCTGGCCGAAAAGGACCTGGGGGTGTTGGTAGACAGCCGGCTGAACATGAGCCAGCAGTGTGCCCAGGTGGCC